ACTAACTCGAAAACAGTGGCTGAAATTTTGTCAGGATGATTGCCTCCTATATAGGAAATAGCATACCTAAAATGAATACCGATTTGCACTCGCGCCATGACTTAGGGCACTTCAAAGACATTTGTGGCGAAGTAGATATTTCGCTTACCGGATAAGTTGTGAAGCTGAAAATTCGCTGGAATATTCTACTTCCAAATGCGGTCTTAATTCTGCTTGGAGGTGGATTACCCTCCAGGTAGGCGTGAGAAATACTCAACTTTATCGAAAAATCAGAAACGAGCGCGTTTTGCAGCGAACGGCCGCCCTCATTCAAATATGTAAATGAACATTAGCTAATTTGCATACATGGATTTTGACAAACGACCGCTCGAGTAATATTTCCGCTTTTTAGTGAACTGGAAATTTGCATTTTTTCAAGAAATTTACATAATTTTTTCAGAAAGCTAGAATTTACCGAAGAACAACTGAGTTTCGTAAGAAAAACTGGTAATCATGTACCGCGTGGTTCATGCGGCCCTATAATGCAATACCTTTATCCCGACGACGCCTTTTTCCCTGCATGCCGATAGGGGTCAAAGCATAGTGTATCTAGAAATATAACAGTAGCATATCGCAGGCTGTTTCTGCTGCGCCAGATGCACGCAATAGTCGTAGGGACCAGAAGTGGGAGAAAAGCTAGAAAAGCTGAAATTCTAGAACTTATGGTCATCGCTGTGTATTGTGCCATAGTAACGTAACTGTTCTTTAACCTACTTTTAACAAAAAACCATTAATCATTATTTGACCTATTACACGACACCTTGTAAAATTTTAGATTATCTTGCCTCTTATTTTTTTTTCGCGATTAATTTTATAATTTATGAGTTTCTGAATCACTGAACAATGAAATCACAGTTGTGCCAACAAATAGTCTAAGGCTACGCATTTCCACCGACTAATATTTGAGCTGGTAGGGATTTGGATAAAAGTAGTAATTCAGTAGTAGATTGAAATTACAACTGTTATTTGGAGGGAAGTGGAACAAGCGTGCAGCCGGGAGGGGGCGGGGATATAGCTAGGAGGAGAGAGAGCGAAACTTCAAATTACAAGTAACATGCACTCAACTGTATATGCAGGGTGTCATTGTTAATTGTACCATAACTTGGCCGTTACATGAGCGGAGTGCCCCGCAGACCAGTGATTAGGGCGGGGCGATTTGTCCAAGTAACGGACTTCTCACAGCAGACATTCTGTACGGCTCGGCACCATGGATATCTGAGCACATGTTACATGAATTTTGAATTTCTTGTGGATATAGTCGCAGCAGTTTGCACTCAGTATGGATTACATGAAAATCATGATAATCATGAAACTGTACATAGATGATAACTAACTCTCATAAGACACAATGAGTGACGATTTGCCTGAGTTTCATAAACAATTTTTCCCCATCCTTATTGCGTCTTCTTCTGTTTCTGCCGTTTCCTCGCAGAATCAGCATAATCATCGCTTGCTGGTGCACTGTGTTGGGAAAGTGAAATATTCGAGAGCCTTGCAAATGCCGTTTCCATAAAAGCAAACACCTAAATAATTATTAATCGTTCAGTGCGAAAATTAGCAACAGTGCAGATGCGCAGTAAATGAAATTGCATGCGTTACGAAAAATACCCCATCTACTTCCTCTGTCCATAATTCCGCCATGATTCCTCAATCTTCCTTCCTCCTCAAACACTACCCTAGCGCTCATTCGCATTTAGGCTTGCAGAAAGAAACCGGGTGCGGACGGGGAACATTCCTTCAAGATTTTGGTTTTCTAGTTTTTCCGGTTCACCAGTTATCAACTTGCCCGGGAAAAATTTTGGCGGACCCGTACGCGGGTACCACGCTTACTCGGGAACTGGGTTTAAGCTCTTTAACACCTACTTGGAGCTACTTTGGCCTTTTTTCCAAAAAAAACTTTTTGAGGAAATTATCAGTTCAAGTTCTCGCTCTTATAAAACGATGTTCACCGCCGAGCTAAAATCCTTCATCAAGGCCGTCTTACTCAGGAAAAATGGATTCGACAACCTGTCTGGAAGAATGTATATTTCAGATCATTTAATGTCGAATATAATTAAAAAACAAAGAATTTACAATAAACAGACTAACCTTTTGATGATTGAAAAACAAGTAGGCGATAAGGAAGAAGAACGGAAATGCGAAGTAATTACCACTGGATATCTCCACTTCTGATTTGCGCTGAAATATTCGTTTTTTTTTTTTTTTCTTTTTTTTTTAACATTAAACAAAACGTTTCAGAATTAGTTATGAGACAGAACAAGACATCTAGCAAAAAAATGTATGCAAAAATTTAATGAAGTAACGCCATTCAAAATGTCATTCGTCGTCTGTAGTAAAATCCTAAGATGGTTTTTTTTTTATTGATAGCTGGCATATTAAAAAAATCTGGTAAATCAATAGTAAGTGTTCCAGAAAAAAACACAGTTCTTTAAAAAGTTACAGGAGAGAATTTTTTTTAGAAAAAACTGCGATAAAACCGCGATA